CAATTGTATAAAAATTCATTTTGACGCATTTTAAGTTTGAAAAGTTATGAGAGGTTAGTTTAAACTTTGAAGTTTAGAATAAAATATGAGTACATGAATTGAGGGTTAAAGTTTTGAATATTAGTTTTAAGTTAAATAAAATTAATAATATAAGATTTAACAAAATGATTATTGAGTTTAGAGTTTGGTATATAGTGATCTGGGTTTAGATTTAAGATTAGACTTTGCAAATAAATTTAGGATTTGAAATTAAATAATAAAAAATATTAGTTTTTTTAAGATTTATAATTAGGTTTAGACTATGTGATTAATTTATGATTAGTTAGAGTTTGAGGGTTGAAGGTTTGGTGTTTTAATATAAGATTTGAGATTAATTTTTGAAAAAGATTAATTTTGAGTTTTATATTTAAGATTTGATGTTATATTTAATATTTGATATTAAAAATTTAGAGTTTAAAGTTTTTGTTTGGAGTTTAGGGGTTGTGTTTAAAATTCAGGGTTTAGAGTTTAGGGTTTAGGGTTTAGGAATTTTGGAAATGGAGTAAGAGGGAAAATGAAAAAAAGATGAGAGGGAAAATAATTTATTTTCCCGCTTTAATTATACATAGCGTTTCAAAACTGAAAGTGCTATGTATACTACGTTTCAAAAAAGCATTTGTAGAATTAAAATCGGACTTAGAAAACATAGCGTTTGCAAAAATGCAAACGCTATCTAAAAATATGGGGTATATCAACCATAGCATAAAGACAAAAAACGCTATCCGCTAGTGCTATTAAAACCCTTATTTCTTGTAGTGTTTTGTCAGGTTATACGCTTAATATTCAGATTTATTTGGTCTTCATTTTGTGTGTATTGTTTCAAGATAAATGATTGTTATTTAGTGTTTACTTTGTCTATAATAAAATAAATGACATGTTCACATGTTCACTTAAACATTTCACCAATCTCTACCAAAATTTGATGTTCGTTTATATTTTGGACATTTTTATTTTTATCTACTGTCAAACATATTTTGCAATTTAATATTTTTTTAGTATTGTAATATTTTATGTTTTTTTTTTGTTTTTTTATAAAAGCACATAATTATTTTTATGTGTCTGAATATTATATGAAATAATTGATATAAGTTCAGTGTGTATACAATATTATTTTTAACAACATACAATATAATTTATGTGAGTATTTTTGTATTTTTGATGTGTTTATTCCTTTTGATTTAATTTGTATTCTGATTGTTTCCTCTATATTTAATGCAAATTAATTTCTAACTAGATCTTGACCCGCGCAACAGCGCGGGTGTTTTTTTCAGTTTTGTAAATATAAATATATATTTATTTTAGT